GGCTACAGTTTGCACCAGCTCACCAAAACTGGACAGCTGAAGACTGTAAAATGTTGCCTGGTCTGACGAGTCTCCATTTCTGTTGAGACATTCAGATGGTAGAGTCAGAATTTGGCGTAAACAGAAGGAGAACATGGATCCATCATGCCTTGTTACCACAGTGCAGGCTGGTGGTGGTGGTGAAATGGTGGGGGGGATGTTTTCTTGGCAAACTTTAGGCCCCTTAGTGCCAACTGGGCATCGTTTAAATGCCACGGTCTACCTGAACATTGTTTTTGACCGTGTCCATCCCTTCATTGACCACCATGTACCCTCTGATGGCTACTTCCAGCAGGATAATGCACCATGTCATAAAGCTCCAATCATTTCAAACTGGTTTCTTGAACGTGACAATGAGTTCACTGTACTACAACGGCCCCCACAGTCACCAGATCTCATCCTGATAGAGCATCTTTGGGATGTGGTGGAACGGGAGCTTCGTGCCCTGGATGTGCATCCCATTAGGGCTGCAACAACGAATCGATAAATTCGATGAAAATCGATTACTAAAAGCGTTGGCAACGAATTGCGTCATCGATTCGTTGTGTCGCACAACTCTTCCAAAAGCGCCCCACCCCCCCTCCCGCCCGCCGTTGCGCGCAGACCAGAGCAAGTCAGATCAGCGCGAGGGAGAGCCGCAGATCAGCGCGAGGGAGAGCCGGCAGATCAGCGCGAGGGAGAGCCGGCAGATCAGCGCGAGGGAGAGCCGGTACCGACAGATCAGCGCGAGGGAGAGCCGGTACCGGCAGATCAGCGCGAGGGAGAGCCTGCAGACTTGCGCTGCTGCGAACCGGTTCCGCATTGTTGCGCTGCGATCCAGGCAGCTGCTTCCAGCGCATGGTCCATTCTCAAAGTGGCGCAACCAAAAAAACTATAATTAGCACACGATCGTTCTTGTCTGCACATGTTCTCTATTTTCTGTCTTATTTGTGCCTGAAGCGCACTACTGCGGAGCTCATCACCTGTGCTGTGGTGATGTCACCTCACGCAGCATCGAAAACACGCTCTGCGCTTTGCGGTCAGGAGATCCCTTTGATCTGCTCAAAAGTAACTGATGAGGTGAAAAGGTAAGAATCCAGGCAACAGATTTTCTGGAGAATTATGAGGAGATGCAGGAAGATGAGAGACAGACAGGACAGGAAAATAGTTAAATAAAAACAATAAAACAAAACAAAGTGTTGAAAAGTAAAATGTAGGTAGATTTATCTCCACTACATGTTTTTACCAGTAAAAAACAATAAGTTATACACATGTCATATTTATACATCTGATACAATTCAGATCACCTTCAAAACTCAGTCACACACCCAGGGCCGTTTCAAGACATTTTGGGGGCCAAGGCAAAATGCCCCCCCAATAACTGGGCTCCCCAGAAGCCTCTGTGTAATTCATACCCTCTCCAGTAGTGGTAGTTATACGGTGTTTATAAAAGCCCCTCAGACATTACTGACATGTTCTAATATTATCAGATGAAAAACTAAATTATCAGACATGCTGTCTCATCTGCTTCTTTTCTAAACTTGCAAAAAGTAACAAAACCATTTGAAAGCCGCTATTTGTGGATTCTCTGAAAGTTTCCATGGAGTGTGTGACAACTTATTTTATCATTGATCCTATCGTCTAATCTCACAGCTGAAACAAGCATCCTTAATAATCTGTGCACAGGAAGCTTACCGATGCTGTAGTAAAACAAAAGGTATAATAATTTATTATTAATAAAACCTTGTTGCAGCACTAAAGCATAAAAATGAGATTTTGCATTAAATATGCAAAATATTTACATATGAATTGTTTTAGAGCCCTTTTATTGGCAGAATCTGATATTAATTTAGTTCTTACAAAAAATGGGTCCCAACATGGTTTGTGTGGCGTTGCCATAGTGTGACGTCATAGGCACAGATCCCCTGTCCTCTTGTTTGGAAATGGAAATATGATCACCCTACATTAAACAAACTGTCCACCCGGGCTTTTGCACTGCACAGAGACGCTTCACTGCCTATGACTTTGAACGTCAGTTGAGAGTCAGTCTCATGCAGACTGACCAATGAAGAGAGGGCCTCAAGTTAAGACCCTCTCCTCATTGGTCAGTCCACACGAGGTGGGTCAAAGGTTACTCCTGGCTGGTTACGTGTTGTCAGGCATTCAAGTATTGAGTATATTTACTGCATATTACAGTAAAATATTCTGTATGTGACCATATTATGGTGATCCTCGGGTCGTGATGATGGAGCCCTTGAATATTGTTGCCCAGGGTACAACAAAGTGTTAATCTGGCCCAGGTTCTGCCGTCACATTCCCGCAGAAACTGGTTGATCACACCGGGGCCAGACTACTAGCATGTAGTTTTACAACCACAATGTCCTCGGAAGCAAAAACGCTTTTAAAAGGGAGGGAGGAGTCCTAATTGTTGCTGCAGGCGTTTTGTGTGAGAGTGCAGTTATATACTGGTTAATATATTTTTGGGTTCAGTTGCTTTCATGTGGCCTAATGTGAGTCTATTTGGGATCATTGGAATGATCAGCAGCATTTCTTGATGTGACTTTATGGCAGTTGCCCAGGGCATCATCGCAAGGAGGATGGCATTCATTTACTTTTGTTTTATTTGGTATTTTTTCAGTCATTTTTGGAAATAGTGATCAATTTTGATTAATTCACAGCCTATGTTTAATTACATTTAAAATAAATGTCAACAGATGAGATCAAACAAAACAGATGAGAATTGCCCTTAAGCTGTTTAACTTGGACCAAGCATTTTAGGTCACAGATAGATGTAGCTTAGGGTCTCTGTCTATACACCTTATAAGACAATTTAGGTGATGGCATGTTGTTTTTCTGCTATTGAACTGTTTTCTAATAATGTTGTGTTAAATAGCGTGAAGGAAGGAGAGAAATAACGTTTCCCTAGCAGTTTTTAAAAATTTCCCCATGTAATCTGATTAATCGATTAATCGTGTCGAGACCCCATCCGATTAATCGATTATCCAAATAATCGTTTGTTGCAGCCCTACATCCCATAGATCTCCAGATGCTAGACCTAGGATGCTATCCTATCAATATGGGCCAACATTTCTATAGAATGCTTTCAGCACCTTGTTGAATCAACGCCACATAGAATTAAGGCAGTTCTGAAGGCGACATGAGGTCAAACACCGTATTAGTATGGTGTTCCTAATAATCCTTTAGGTGAGTGTAAATGGTCTGTATTCGTATAGTGCCTTCTTAGGGTTCTACAACCACTCCACAACACAATCAGTCATTCATCCATTAAGGTGATGATGTGCTACAATGTAGCCACAGCTGCCCTGGGGCGCACTGAGGGAAGCAAGACTGATGAACACTGGCACCAACAGTTTCTTCGACTATCACCAGCAGGCAAGGTGGGTTAAGCATCTTGCCCAAAGACACAATAGCAGCATTCTCTGGCGGGAGCCGGGATTGAACCTACAACATTCCAACCACTGGATAATCCTCTCTACCTCCTGAACTACTGCTGCCCTGGTTTAAAAAAGTGTTCACACAAACAAGGACATCAGACTGCATCGTGGGACTTGTACTTTTTTCAGAGTAATAACATCTAAATACCTAAACTTAACACAGAGAACATTAACAATATCTGCTTAATCAGTAATATGTAACTCAAAACCTGGCTTTTTAATTGTTGCTACCAAAGCCAAGTAAAAATACGAAATGGGACATGATTCCTGGTCCATGAACTCAGCACTGCAAAGGGTAAACTCACACAAGCAGTTACAGACCTTCCATGTGGGTGTTGTAGTTGCCTGAATTTTTTTTATCTGAAATTTTTATTCATATCTCTTTGACATTAATCAGAATAAACATTAAAAGAATAAAAAGAATAAAAATTGGTATTGGCTAGTAGGGGACCCATGTTGACTCTGTTAAATGTGTACCTTTTGTTTGAGAGCCAACCTAAAGAGAACCCAACAGCTGAAACAAGAGTCCTCACAGCAGACTAAATAACTTAATCTAACCAGTTCTGACCCTGAAATGACCCTAAATCCCAGAGCAGAGGGAAGAAGAACCTCAAAATGCTTTCATGAGACTTGACCTGAACCCTCTAAATATTTCCTGGAGTCATCTTCTCAGCTCCATCTGTCAGAAAGCTCATGCTCTACTGTGGAAGTCTTCCACTGACAGCTTCTCATCAGGCTAAGAGCCAGAATGTTAGCTCACCGCAACATGTGCTGTAAGCTGGGGTGCATGCTAGCTCTCATTTGACATAAAAAGAGGACACTTCGGGCTCCAGCTGTGCAGCCATGTCAGAATCAGTTACATCAGGCAGGACATTCTTTAACCATCCAGCAGGTAGCAGAGTGAGCCATCGGGGTATTGATCAAAGGGAGAGGGTGTTTTAACGTGAGGTTCACTAACAGATCAACACGCGCTCAGAGGCGGCTGCACCTCAAAGACAATCTGGTGGTCACATTCCCAGCATGAGTGTGCTATATTAGCTTCAGAAACATCTAAAAATGACAGATGGAAGGTTGGTATGGGTACACAGCTAACTTACAGAGCTAGAAAAATAAGACAAGAGCTGATGTTTCTGGAGAAAACGCCACACTGGCAAGAGCATCCATCTTCCAACGTGCTCAGTCATATAAATGTGAAGACGCACAAGGACACAGACAACACAAACACTCAGCATTTCAGATGAGACTGAATTTTCACACACACACAGAAAGGCATTAAGATCAGCATGTGCTGATCAGCACTAGCTTGTGGTGCTGATCCTGTCTGCTAAAATGGTAGATCCCAAATTACTCCCCTTGCAATCTGCCACCAGCGACCATGGAGGCAAAACAGGAAGAAAGGAGGAGGAGATGGTAGAAAAGAGGACATCTAGTGATTTCCCTCTCCTTGTGCTCCCTCGGACAAAACATGCTGATGTACTTGAAGGTACAGAAACACACAGGAGATGAGAGGATGCTGTTGATACTTACATGAGGATTCTGTACCGAACATGGCTGGGCCAGGAGCTGTGATGGAGAGAGGAAGAGGAGGAGAAGGAGGAAAGAGAGGAGAAGGGGGAGGGAGGGAGAGGGAGAGAGAAAGAGAAGGTTGATGAGCAGGCAGCTACACAGCGGGGGTCATCAAAGCAACACAATGCAGCCAGCCGGCTGTCGCTGCCTCCCAGACGGCCAGATGCCTCCGCTCGGCCGGCCGTTGCTGCTTTAAGAGCTATCCTCTGCGCACACGCAGACCGACTCGGTCCAGCCACCAAACCAGGGGCCGTTTAACACAAACAAAAACAAATCCTTCCCAGAGATGCCAAAATTGTGTCCAAAACGTCCAAGATGGAGATGTGGCTGACGCTAGCTACTGCATCCCTCCGCTTTCTGCAGTCTATATCCTCCTCTTCATCCTCTCTGCTCTGTTGTTCCCTCACTCCTCATTCCACTGTAGAAATTACTAATGAAGACAGAGAAGGGGGTTAGAGACTCTTTCCAGGGGGATAAGGAAGGGATGGGAGAGAGAAAAAATAAAAATTTGGAGAGGAGCTGCTGCTACTGCAGCCGCTGTAATACAAAAGCTATACAAGCAGTAAGTGACGTGGGGGGGGGGGGGGGGGGGGGGAATTGCCACTCGATAGAATGACGAGGGAGCAGAGGGAGACAAGAGGGGATGGGGGGTGTTAGACTGAAGGAAACATACTAAAGAAGGAGGCTAAAAGGACAGGAGGTGGTAAAGAAGACATGAAAAAGAATGAGGATGAAGATGATCTCCCTCTGCTGGAGGGGGCAGTGATTGGGGGGTGGGGGTGTTAGAGTGTTAGCTTGACAACTTGAAGTCAAAGTACCAAACTGGGCGAGTTCCTAACACACAACCATTTGCACAAGGTCATCAGCTCCATCGGCACCACATCATCAATCAAACCTCATATAGTCGTTATTCTACCGATGGTGCCATTCACCTAGGGCTGAAATGATTCCTCGAGTAACTCAAATAATTTGAGTACAAAAAAGCCTCGAGCCAAATTCTCTGCCTCGAGGCTTTGTTTAATTCATGTTTAATTAATTCATGGCTGTGCAATCGTCCGGGTTCATGTTTCACCCGGACCAAAATAAGTGACGCTGAATGCACATGCGAGTAGCGAATGTAACCTAACTTTCTCTTAAGCCATGGCGGACAACGTGGACCCCGGTGGAGCGTGAAAAAAGCGAAAAAGAACGATGACAGAAAAAGGTGTGAAACCATTTTTCACTTTGTAAGGCGTTTTCGCATGTAAATGTCACTTCTGCAAGCGGACTCGGAGGTCCGCTATATATTCTGCGGACACTGTGCGACTTTTTCATTTGTAGCACTTAAAGGCAGGGTACGTAAGATTTAAATGTGAAATAACTTTAAAAATGTTTAATTTTGTCCATCTGACCTAGTTTTATTTTAAAAAGTAAACAATCTTTAATATTTCAAATTTCTCCTAAGTCCCTCCCCTGCCCTGTAGAGCTCAGTCAATATTTCAGCAAGCCTAACGCATTGACCAATAGCGCTGCATTACCACCAGGGGTAGCTGTCAATCATCGAGAACGAGCATTAGATCTCAGCGTGCACAAGCACAACAGTGTCACGCGCCTCACTCGGCTCACTGTTTCGTGATCTTTGCAGCCTGAAAACGGATGAAGCTGGCAAAGTATATTTTGGACAGGTAAGTTATTTATTGTTTTTCGGATAAATTTACTTAAAATCTTTCTTTCACTGAAAGAAGTAATAGAGCAAACAAGCTTTGTATGTTTAGTGTCCTATTGGCTAATGTAGCATTAGCTTGAATGGTAAGTCGACATGAATCGATGTTAGTCGTTGAACTATTTATGCTATATTTGGAAGAAGTTTGAGTAACGAAAGGGGATTTTAGTTATATTTGTATGGGAGCTAATGATTAGTGTGGCGTTTAACTATAGGCCATATTAGTACGGGGCTGAAGTTAACTTCCGATTCGGGAAACGGCTAAAAGGCCAATACACCCAATTTTTCTCTACTCTGACCATCTTTAATCTGCTCTAGCTCACAAACTACAACAGCCACACTGTTCAAACCTGTTCTAGATTATTCTATAATAATAGCAGATTGCATACAACCTTGTTTGGGATTTGTGAAACCTTTCCCTGATTTGTGAAACTTCAGCAAAGCATGATTTATGCGTTTTTTCAGCATCTGGCCAACGATGGAACAGCTGTAGCTCAAGAAGTACAGCCCCTACACTATTCAAACCTGTTCTAGATTATTCTACAATAATAGCAGATAAAATAAAAAACTGTGTGGAATACACCTTACACAGTAAGGATTCCTGCACTGTGTCTTGGTGGAAAGCTTCTTGAAGAGCGCTCATGTATCAATGCTCACATTAGAGCAGTTTTCACCTCTCTATAGTCAGGTTCCAAAGTCATTACATCGTTGGAGGGTAATGTTTCCTGACATCAGCAGCAATGCCTTTTCTGAGGTTCAGAATTTTTTTGTCCCCAATAAAGTTAAAGAAATACACTTGAAAATCTTACATAGATATTATCTGTGTAATGAATTTATTAATAGATTTCGACCTGATGTGTCCCCTTTATGTTCCTTTTGCTAAACAGGTGTTGAGTCTCTTACTCATTTGTTTTATTGTTGTCCTTTAGTTGTACAGTTTTGGAATCAATTGTCTTCATTAGTTTGGGATTCTCATAAAATATTGATTACTTTTAATGAAAGTATGGTCTTATTCTTAAACGTTAAATGTAACAAGGAAGTTAACTATGTAATAAGATTGCTGTGTCTGTTGGGTAAATTTCACATTCATAAAGTCAGATTTCTACAGGCTACACCAAATGTAACTTTATTTTATATTGATCTTAATTTTTTTATGACTCTGTATGTAGAATTAGTATAAACAAGAAAGCTGTGAAAATATGCAACTTGATGAATTCTATTATGCCCCATATTACATAATAAGGTAATGTATTAGTGGAATTTTATATTATTTTATTTGTGTATAATTATTTATTTGTTTGTCAATGTATCACACCCTGTACATCGATGTTTTTGTCAAAATGTTATGTCTTGTCTGCTGCAACTGTGTCAATAAAGATTGCTAAAAAAACACAGTGTGGGATTTGTGAAACCTTTCCCTGATTTGTGAAACTTCAACAAAGCCAGATTTATGCGTTTTTTTCAGCATCTGGCCAACGATGGAACAGCTGTTTTGCCTCTGTTTGTTTTAAGTTAGTGGTGGATTATTTTGAAGAAATTCTGGAAATGGGATAACGAATGACTATAAAAAATGTATATAAATAAATAAATAAATAAAACTATATTTTATATAGCGCCTCTCAAGATAAAACTCTTGAGGTGCTTCACAACAAAATTAAAAATATTAAAATAAAAATTTATATTTTTATTTTAAACAAAGTTTATGAGAAAAAATAACACAATTGTGTTTTTAAAATGTAATGAAAGAGACAGGAAATTATTTGTAAAGAAGGAATTCAGTGGATACAGAGAAATGCGTGATAAGTAGAGGGAGAAAAATGAGAGGGTGATGATGACGGCCAATAGACGAGGTCTATTACCTTCAAAATGATAAAATATGTATTGATTCTAATCATATTCTTGTGCTTGTATTTTATTTTCATAGGTATGATAATTTGGAGGAGGAGATGGAACAAGGTGAAACTAAAAATGAAGGATCTTCACAAATGTAAGTACAAGGTTGTATCTGTATACGGCTGTCACATTTGTCAGGAAAGGTAAACAATAATTACTTTTTTAGGTTATCTTGTGTGAGAATTGAGAGAACATTGACGAGGAAGAGTACAATAATAATCAAAACTCTGTGTAAGTATTCAGATGTTAATAAAATGTGTCTAATTTTCCATACTAAAAGCTTTTTTGTGTGTATATTCAGGATAGAGTCATCAGATGACACATGGTCACCAGAGAACCAGAAGTTGATTCGTCTTCAGAGGACAAAACCATCTAGATGGACAGCGGTACTGATGACGGCGGTGATGAGGACTACACACCTTATATACACATAAGGTAATTCCTTTCATTTAATTTAAAAAACTTTTTGAGCTAATTTGTTGGATACTACAAGTTATGGTATGTGTCATTTCAGATACCATAAAATATTCAACAAAAAATCTAGATGCTGGAGGTTGTATTCTGAGAAGGTGGCAAAAGACTACTCCTACATCCCAGAGATCCAAACCATGATCATCAACCAACGTTTGACAAGCAAGAAAGGTCTTCCTCGACGCTACAAGCTAAGGCCTGAGGATCCAAGGCGTTATGGTTTGCTGTCCGGAGTTCCTGCACCATCAACAGAGGAACTTCTACAACACCTACGGACTCGCAGTGATGGTAAAATAAAACATTATCTGCCTTACATCTCCCACACAATAGTCCATTACTAATTGAGTTTATTTTTTATTTGCAGGTAAAACAATTTAAAAATGTATGTAAAATGCTGGAGGTAGACATAAGTTTTTGTTGTTGTGCAGGAGTTTTAAAATTTATGGTATTTTTATAAAGGCAAGAGAGAATTATGCTTTAGAACACTTTATTATAGCATCAAACAAAAATATATAAAAAACTAACTGATGGAAAATATTAAATATATACAATTATTTACAATCATCTTGGAAGAAAACCAGTGTAATTACCATTGGGGTCAGAGAATTTTTCCCTTATCCTCCAGACAACACAGCTTGGGATTACTACCCTGCGCCCTCCACCAAGTTTTCCATGCTGCCATGCTACAAACTGTCTGTAAGCGGCATGGCGGAACTGTCTGTTGTACTCACCAGGATCCGGGTCATCATAAACTGCTCGAAAGTCATTCCACAATGTTCTGGCCAGGCGAAGAACACCATTTTGCAGAATAAACTCTTCTATGTGCGGGACAGTTGAAATACATGTCTGGGGAGGCTGTTGGCAGCATTTCATTTCCAAATCAGTTGGCATCTCTGCAGTGGGAGCATACACACCATGAAGGTTGATTGGA